CAAAAATTTTATTATAAAATAAGTAATTAATAACAAATGATATAAATGAAATATTAATCATTTCAGATACCAAATTTTTCATTTAATAGTGAAAAAACTTCTTTTTTCTTAATCAAAATAGCAAAATATTTTTTCATGATATGTAAAGAAGACATAACTAATTTTGAATCTATTTGAAATTGTTTTAATGTTTTACATTATAAAATATTTGTCATTTAATCATTTTAAAATGAAAATTACCGAGTAAATAATTAGGAATAATAATTATCATTATTCTAAATTAATTATTTCTTATTTTACAAAATATATCGGACATAGAATAGTTAATAATATTATATAAGAATTAAAGGAAAAATAATATCATTAAATAAATAAATGAATTATAAATTTAATGTAACAAGTTTATATTAAAAAGAGAATAATTTATTGCAAAAATAGAAATTGCGATAATTGCAAAATTATTTTGCATATTATATATATATATTTTGTATATTTTTAGATATAAATATAGAAATAAAATTTAAATAAGAGATAGTAATTATAAATTATGCTGAATAAAATTAAAATAAAATTAAAAATATTTGAAGAGTTACCAATGCACCAACGCAAACACAAATAGCAGAAATAATCACGATCGTTTTCATTTTTATTTTAAGATATATCGATTTCAAATAAACAAGATACGACTGCACTTGAAATATATTCAACGATAACTAAACAAACATCGAATGTCGACGTCTTTATATACTATAATTGTTACCTTCATTAATTCTATCTCAGAATTTCTCTCTCCTTTTATTACAGTAAATGATATTGCAAATAATTTTATTAACGAAAACTCATGAATAGTTCTTAAATACATATCAGATTATGATATAATACACATTAATTATATAAAAAGATTTAAAGATTAGAATTAAATTAGAAAATTAAAAAAGAATTAAAGATTAAAACTAAATTAGAAAATTAAAAAAGAATTAGAATAAGAAAAAATTAGAAAAAAAATATTTAAATAACTAATTTTCATATTTCTTCTTTAATTATCTAATTCTTAATAATCTAATTCTTATTTCTTGAATATATAGAGTGTATATAAACGATTACTAGAATGATGAAAGTTAATATAATTTCATTTAAATGATTATTTGCTTCCTTTTTTCGTTTCTTTCTAAATTTATTAAC